CTTTCGTCGCGTTGTGATGACGTCACATACGCGATTTCGTCGACCGCGCTTTTGTGGAACGTGCTTTTGACGGGTCACGTAATAATCAATATAAATGATAACTAATACTAGCAAAAGTGAATAATGAGTTATGTTTTCTGGCTTCATAAATGTCCATCATAAAGAAGCATTTTAATGCCTTTTTAACAATAAGATACCGAAGGCAGTAATTAATTAGGCACAAGTCAAACTGCTTATAGACTAAGTAACTTGTGAATGTTCATGTGTGGGAGAATATTATTTGAATAACATGATAGTAAGATTTTTTCCCCCATCTTTTTTTTTGTTCAGGTACAGCAAGTGATGATCCCAAATTTCCCAAGATCCAGTGGCCTCCCCAAAGCTTCTGCCCTTCATGCCATCACACCTCAACCGACAGTTCTTTGCAGGATGGGAAAAAGTCTCTGTGGAATGAGAATCGAGTCTTGATGTTTCTCAAATGGCATTTTTCTGGAAAAAACATTTACGTGGATTCTCCCCTGGAGCCTCAGACACGAAGTGGCCGAAGTATTGCTCAGCAAAACGACGAAGCTGAGTGGAAGCTAGAAGGGGGAGGAAGAGGAGAAGAGGGCGACCAAGATAATCAAAAGGAGGCTGGGAAAGTAGGAAAGAAGAAATTTGATTTGGGAAAACCTGGTTCTCCGGAGTTGCATAAACCGAGCATCGTCAAGATGAGCACAAAGGCAAAAGAAATGGTGGAGGATATCGTTGATCTGGATACATTTAGTGAGCAGCGTTTTAAGAGCAAAGCCTTGAAGCTGGCAAGACAGATTAGCATCAGGGAGAGGCGGGCTAAGAGGGACACCCGGCTGTTCCTGATGGAGAATGAGGCCCGGCGCTCACTTGATTATATTAGAGAGTCCCTGCGGCATAAGAATTTGGGAGCCAGACAGTTCTCTGGCATCCAAGTGGAAAAAGAGAATACTTCGAAGAGAAACCAGTGGATTTATATCCTGGGAATGGGTTTCTCCCGGTTGGATGTGAGCTTGTGTGTTCTGTTGTATTTGCTTTCTTCTGTCTGCCTGTTGGGCATGTACACTTTCTTCCGCATGCGCATGAATTACCGGAAGGCCCGGTTAGGCTACTCATTGACATGAAATTGAAGGATCCATTAGGTAATGGAAGGGGTATGTGCATATCAGCTTGATTCGGTGATCTTTCACTAAACTAACTATTCCTATACCGAATATGCACAGATGCAAAAATACACAGATTATATATTGGTTGGGAAGGGTGCAAATTAGTAGAGTATACTAGTAGATCTCTTAAAAATGCATGGAAATTGCTATTTCTATATATATGGAAGAGCACCTAGTGGACAGGCAGGTCTTATTGTCACAGTTGCTAGATCATTTGTATATATTTGTGATTCTGTATCAGAATAAAATAGCTGAGTGTAGTGCCAAAAGGGGCATGGGGTCATATTTCAGAGCACATGGGTGACAGGCTGATTGTCCGAGGAATCGGGCTCTTTATGGTTCTTGGTTTGTGATGGCGGGAAAAGATTAATAAGCAGAAAGGATTCAGATCTTATTAGATAAATGTAGTACAATTGTCTTTTCGACAGCCAGAATGTAATGAAAATACTGTTGCTATTTTGGGGGCGGGGGAAGCATGATGAGTTTAGGACCAGCAACAAAGTGGTACTTCTGAAATCTTTGTGCCTTGTCTCTTGAGATATGTCCAAACCAGTGGTGGGTTTCAAAATTTTTTGGAACCTCTTCTGTAGGTGTGGCCTGCTTTCCGGATCCACTGGTGGAACCTCT